GCTTCATGTCATAGAGGATTACTGGAGAACGGAAACTCACTTACTTTACAAGTGGACCATAGCTCTAAACTATTGGAGGACAACTCAGATTAAGTATATCTTTCAGCTATTTGTCTACAATATCATTTAATAATGAACCAATGCTTGCTTACTAAATCTTCACTGCTTCAAACTACTAATTGTATGGAGGACAACTCCCATCATGCTTATTAACTATGAACTGTTTCTTGCTTTGCAAATATACTCAGTGCTTCAAACTACTAATTATATGGAGGACAACTCCTATCATGCTTATTAACTATGAACTGTTCCTGCTTTGCAAATATTCTCAGCTACTTGCTTAAAGTTACTATTGAAGATTATTCTCATTAACCTAAAGAATGTTACTTAATGCATCTCTGAGGAAATACTTATTAATGAACTTTGTGTTATTGATTACTCGCACTTCTTCTTATTGGATTATTGCCTAAATGCAATTCATTTAAGTTACGACTTATTAAAACTTCGTTTGAATCAAGTTCCCAGCAATTCTCTCTTTTCTTAAAGCTACAGTATTGATACTTTAAAGATTCTCAGTTTCTTCACTATTGTAATTAGGGAGTTTTACAAGCTGCAGTTGAGTTCCAATCCAAATCACCCAAGTAGCGTAACACACAGCTATCTCCTACAATAGGGCACTTAGCATTTTTTATAAATTCACTGCAGAATTCGGTTTACAAGGTGATTTTTCTACACAACCCATGGTGGCTTTTGCCTCTTTCTGCCATTTACATCTTAAACTTTCTCACAACACCATTAAACTTTACCTCACCGGGGTTCAGCACCATAGCCTCACCAATTTTCCTAACAATACCCCCTTCTTGTCATCATATCCCATTAAAAAGGTCTTGAAAGGTATATTAAAGGTTTCTGTTCCACTCACCACCACAAGACTGCCTATAGATGGTCCTATCTTTAGATCACTCAGCAATCTCCATGATGAATCCCCGTTCGATCCCAACACAAACCTGGTGATTAAATCTGCTATCTATCTTGCTTTCTATGGTTTTCTCAGACCCAGAGAGTTCACCGTTGTTTGCCAAGGGGATATCACGCACAGCCTCAAAGCTTCACACCTCACTAAGGTGGAAGATCACTACGTACTTACGCTCCCATCAACAAAAACTAATCACTCACAACACCCCACCATCATTCCTCTCTTTCCTACCGACAACGCCTGGTGTCCGGTCAAGGCGCTAGACCACCTACGGTCAACCCATCACACGCACTTACCAGACTCTCTGCTCTTATCACTACAAGGGCACCCGCTCACCACGGCTAAATTCACCGCACATGTCAGAACATTACTATCCAAACTCGGTTAAAATACGGCTTCATTCTCCGGGCTCTCCTTCCGCATAGGAGCCGCTTCATCAGCCTCTAGCACAAACACCCTGGTCCACATCATCAAGAGACTGGGTCGATGGAAATCCTTCATATATCACACATATATACCATGAGCAGAAAGAGAGCTTCGTCAAGCCTTCAGGAACTTGGTTATGTAAAATGCAACAAAGTGTGTCTTTTCTGGAACTTCTCTTTTGCCCTCTTTTATTTACAGGCCCACTCGTACGTTGGTTTCGGCACACCACAACCAACCTTTCCTTTTCAGATACTATGCATTACGTATTAAATTCCGAGCACAAGTAGAAAGGCCATTAGGCCTGAATTTGTGGGAGGAGTAAGTCCCCTCCTTAAACTCCCAGCCCCTATTCGCCTCTGCCGATCCAGTTGATTGTCCCCACCCACGTACACCCAGTTAGCATTACAATTCTCCTTGGTGGGCCCTCTTTTATTTACAGGCCCACTCGTACGTTGGTTTTGGCACACCACAATCAACTTTTCCTTTTCAGATACCACCCATTACGTATTGAATTCCGAGCACAAATATATGTGCCTGGGAGTGTGAATATTTAATTAATTCCATTGTATTACCACTTTTAGATGACTTTTTAAAAAATAATCTAATGCCATATTACCGGTATAGGATGGTCACTTTTGTCGATCATTTGGACTCCTTTCACGATATTATACCCCTCTCTTTTTGTATAATACACATAAGCATTATTGTTTTCGAGTTGGGGTACCAATATTTCTGTATGCCATATATATATACACACATATATATATATATATATATATATATACATATATATATACACACACACACACACACACACCAGTACTTTTTTCTTATCAAAATGCAACAAGCAGGCCCTCTGTTGAAGTATAAACCATAAATCTTTATTATTAGGTTCCTTTTCATGACTCTGTTGCAACACAACAAATCATACTATCCTGTGACCTTCAGCTCAGAATTTGCACGTTTTGCTCTGACAGGCAGATTTCTTCTCTAGATATATTAAAGATTACAGTCTATTGCTTTATTGAAAGAAAAAAAACACATTAAAAATGTTCCCCACCATATACATAGGCATGTACGTAAGGCTCTTTCTGTTGGATTAGAACCCTATCTTATATTCTTGCCTGAATATATAACTAGTAGTGGTAATGGTATCTAGCTGTTCCATTACAATCATATACTTGTCTCATGTACCTGATTTTCTGTATATCTATGATGGTCAAAAATTAAGTGGCACAATCGGATGACCTGTTGTGGTTACAAACACTTTTACTTTGAATATATTTTTGGAGTTTTTCATATTTTTTACTTTGTAGTTATCTGATTGTGCTACTTTATTTTTATTCTTTATTTTTGTCTGTTGATTGGGTGAGTTAAATGGAGGTGGTTACATGGATCCAGGAACACTAAGTGAAAAAGGAAATTAGAAGTTGTCCTCCCAGATATTGGGTCCTAAATGCCTAAACGTTTTCATTTAGTAGATCTGTATTTGAAGATAAAGATACAATCTAAACCTGGTTCATTGTATATTGTCACTGATAGTGATGCATATAGTGCATAAGTGCAGGAACTCATTGTTTTAGGAGGTCAGTCAAGCAATGAGAAAATACTTTCTGCCCATCAAACAGATGAAACAAAGAAAATGATAACATCTATACCATACCATGGCTACAACATGAACATGGCAGAACTCTAGTAGAAGTGTAAAGGCTCGAAAGGAACAGAGGAGAATGATAAAGTAACTTAGCTCTGATATACAATGAGCGAATAATTAATAGAAGTCAATTCGTCTGGTTCTGGTAGACTGCAGACTATTTGAAACTGTGAAAACCATGAGGATCAGATTCCTTGTGACACACAAGAACAAAGGTCTAAGTAGAATAAGGTAGTTGTGACGAATTGAACTTCGCCACTGGCTTTTGGAGAGGCCTGCTTGCCAGCCTCTTGCCCTGTGACTATGGCCCCTGGGGTTGCATTGCCTTTTAAAAACTCCATTTGTGCAGATTGGATTCTAAAGTACTGGTTCTGCCCCTTTAAGAACTATTGGCAAGGATTTGCACTTTCGAAGTGGCACTTCGGATACATCCGAAGTGGCTGCGATTCGCCATCTTGTTCGCATGGGCTCAAACCGCTTATAGACTTCAGGGGGACTTAGCCGTGAATGCCCTGGAACTATTTTCAGCATGAAAACCTCACGGTTCCTGTTCGGTCCTCCAGCGGCACTTAGCCGCAAATCTATGAAACTGTTTTGGGCATGACATCCTGGGTTCGCCTGGGCAAAAATATGACTTACATAAAATTTCTGAACCCCTTATCTGAGCTGGGTGATTTTTGGATATGTTGTTCACCCAGATCAGGGCTATCAGGGGATTTAAGATATATGTTATTTTTGGGGTACTTATGGGACTTTATAAAAATGTGTGTTTTTTCTGCCTGTGGATAATTAAGTTAATGCATATATATGCATTTATATCACAGGCAGAGGGGAGGGCTTGCGGACTGTATGTGGGAGTGTTAATATGTTAATTATTGTTTCTATTGGTTTGGTGACTTTGTGTCCTGTGCTCCACAAGGTCCACGTGGGTGGTAACCTTGTGGGGAAAATGTGTATAAAACCAGAGTTCTTCTTAACCCTCAATATGTAGCCTTGTCTCGTTATTGTAGGGAACTGCTATAATCACACTGAGGATTGCTATACTTTGTATACTCCCCTGAGCTCTAATCACTTAGCTCTTTTTTTTTTTTTTGAATTCTTTATTTTTGTTGTGCACAAAATTGACAAATAGCCTTGGTGCGCCACAACGGCGACATCAGGGTGAGTTGAAATACATTTGCAATACAGGTTGTGGCATTTGTTAGTCAGGCACATTTTTAAGTATTTGAGATCATCATTTCAACAGTGTAGGTACTCGTTTATGTAACTATAATGTAGAATTATTAACATACTAAAACATTACTGAGGCCACGTTTATAACAGTACAGTGAATATTGTAGCAAAATGCAGATTCTTAGATCAAGTTAGTGTAGTTAGATTATTTAACTGCTTAGTGTGTATTAATATGCTACCTTGCTGCGCCTTAACTATTTGTGGACCCAGAAAGCGTTACATATGCTGGTTAAGCCTAATGTAGTTGTTGCCTAGTAGTCCATATGAGTGTATATGCTTGTTGTAGCAAGGTTAGGCTAAGTAGGGTGTGAGGCTTTACCCGTGCAAACTATCGCTACCAGTTAGTCGGTATGAGACTAGTTAGCCATTGAATACGAAGTAACCTGTTGTATAGAGTAAGTAAATTATACATGGTAACCTGGTGCAGGTATTTAGTGAAGTAGTTTCACAATCATTAAAGTTGTATGCTAATACTACACATGCTAATTATACCTGGGTACTATACATCGCTTAAGGAAAGGAGGCCATCAGACATTTTAGTTACTGGGCGCTGAGGGTTAGTGGGATCAGATGGAATTGGAGAAATATGAATATAGGCATAAAACAGATTTTAAAATCACATGCAGTAGCTAGAGAGCAGTGCTGTGTGTGAGAGGGGACAACAGGCTGATGCTCTGGCGTATCCAGTGACCCCCCCATTGCATGTCCCACTCAGCCTATGCCCATAGCTGTCTGGCACAGTCCAGACCCATTTGCAGGGTAGTGTGTTTCTTCCCGCATTCCTCTTCGGCTCACCGCGTCAGTGTGGACCATCCTCTCTGTGTGTGCACATAGGTGTGAGCCCGTTTGATGGGTTTGGACAGCAGCTTGGTTTACGGTCCAGCGGAGCAACGTGAGGCTGGTGCCGCTGTGTGCTTGGTGGAGTACCCGGAGAGGTGAGAATCCTCGGTTGCTTGTCCTGCCGGACCCTTCTAGGAACCCTTGTGTGGTTTCCACCCCATCGTTCGGACTCACAGCCGCGAGCGGGAACTCGGAAGATGATGTGTTTCCCTTGGAGTGGAGGTTTCCTTTGGGCCCTCTGCCCAGGAAGGTTGTTACGAGCTCTGGTCCGTTTGGGATATGAGCGGGTGCCTGGTGAGTGGGTCATCTGTCTCCCCCACTGCACAGTGCCGGGAACCATGGGTTTTTGCCACCGTTTGTCTGCCAGGGAGGCAGGACGGACAAGAGGTTTGCTTTCTCTCCTCTGCTCCCTGTTAGCCTGTGCCTCTCTGTCCTGCAGCATCCGCCAGAAGTTGCTGAACAGCGTATCTAGCCGTTCCTCGGGTGTCGCTTGCGGGCCTTGTGTTGCTGTCACAGGTGCCTCCGCCGCCATCTTGATTTCAGCGGTGGAGTTGGGCGCAGGCCACAGCAGGTGTCTGATGCCTGTGCGCAGGCGGGGAGCCTGGGAAGTTTGCTTGGGGCGCTTGTATGAGTGGGACTTCTGTGAGACTAGGTGGTGCTCGGGGTGCCTGGTGTTGGGTGGCATGTGTTGTGTCTCACTTACATGCTGTCGTTTTGCCGCCATGTTATTCAAGGGTGTCTCTCTCTTCACCCTGCTCTCATGGTTCCGCTCACCCCTGTAGGGTAGGGTTTGTGATTTTGCCTGAGGTGTTTGCATCTTTTCCAGCAACTTCGTCCAGAATCGGGCAAAAGTTGCATTTAGACGCTGTTGTATGTCGCCGAAGTCCTCCGGCTCGTGTGTGCAGTGTTGCTTGCTTGGTAGGTTTGCCGCCATTTTGGGCACGCCATGTACTTGGCCGCTTCGTCGCTGCGGTTTCTCAGGCTGCAGGTTCAGTCTTTGTCCGCCTCCCCTGTTGCCCACTGTGGACCGTGATAACCCCCATCGGTCCGTAAGGGGGGGGGGGTAGGAGTTGGGAGCCCCGAGGGATCCATACATAGGTCAGTCTGCTTGGAGAGCGGCCGTCTCTCCACAGCTCAACCTCCGGCAGGCCTCAGGTTTGTAATGCAGGGTCCCGGTGGGTCACACGCTTGGTTTCAGTGTCCAAGGGTTCACCCGGGTGTCCCCGACTCCCTAGCTCCACTCTGGTGTGCTTTTGTGCTGTTTTCGGGGGGGATTTTCCCCCAATTTGTGTTGATTTGTGCAGGAGCTGAAGCTTGGCACAACCGCTCAGCTTAGCTGCTTGGCTCCGCCCCCCATCACTTAGCTCTTTTAAGAGCTGTTCCTGATATGCTCTCCTGGAGGAGAGGTCTTTCCCACATGGTCCTGGATGTCAGAGGTTGATCCAGGGTGGAAGGAAGACAGCGAGACTCCAGTTAAGCTACGGTGATTGTGGAGTCTGTGGTGGTTGTGGTGTCTGGTGCAGTGCTTATGATCCTCAGCGTGAGCTAGGAAGCGTCTATCAACGGAGGTACCCAGTCGGGGTGCCAGGTGATCCGTTACAGTAGTGTAAATTAAAGCTAAGACAGTATGCAAAACAAAGTGTGAATTTTAAGTAACAAGCTACTGGAAAGAGTACAGACAGATGTGTAAATGGAATCCAGCTGTCATTGTGCCACTCTGTGTCTGGCATTAGCCATTCACCTGGAGAAGAGTCCATGCTGCCGGTAAGGAGAGGCTCCAAAAGAATGGCTTGCTTTTTTTCTTTTGATTAATACAAAGTTGTTTTTATTTTATATATCCATTTCCCTACCTTTTCTAGCTTTTTTTTTGGAGTTTGTTTCAGTTTAAACCACCAAGCTATACCTATGTGTCATGATCCTGAGAAGATTGTCAGGGTTAGCATCAGGATCTTTATTGCTGGAATTGGACATTATAAAATAAACAGTACAGGGAGTGCAGAATTATTAGGCAAATGAGTATTTTGACCACATCATCCTCTTTATGCATGTTGTCTTACTCCAAGCTGTATAGGCTCGAAAGCCTACTACCAATTAAGCATATTAGGTGATGTGCATCTCTGTAATGAGAAGGGGTGTGGTCTAATGACATCAACAACCTATATCAGGTGTGCATAATTATTAGGCAACTTCCTTTCCTTTGGCAAAATGGGTCAAAAGAAGGACTTGACAGGCTCAGAAAAGTCAAAAATAGTGAGATATCTTGCAGAGGGATGCAGCACTCTTAAAATTGCAAAGCTTCTGAAGCGTGATCATCGAACAATCAAGCGTTTCATTCAAAATAGTCAACAGGGTCGCAAGAAGCGTGTGGAAAAACCAAGGCGCAAAATAACTGCCCATGAACTAAGAAAAGTCAAGCGTGCAGCTGCCACGATGCCACTTGCCACCAGTTTGGCCATATTTCAGAGCTGCAACATCACTGGAGTGCCCAAAAGCACAAGGTGTGCAATACTCAGAGACATGGCCAAGGTAAGAAAGGCTGAAAGACGACCACCACTGAACAAGACACACAAGCTGAAACGTCAAGACTGGGCCAAGAAATATCTCAAGACTGATTTTTCTAAGGTTTTATGGACTGATGAAATGAGAGTGAGTCTTGATGGGCCAGATGGATGGGCCCGTGGCTGGATTGGTAAAGGGCAGAGAGCTCCAGTCCGACTCAGACGCCAGCAAGGTGGAGGTGGAGTACTGGTTTGGGCTGGTATCATCAAAGATGAGCTTGTGGGGCCTTTTCGGGTTGAGGATGGAGTCAAGCTCAACTCCCAGTCCTACTGCCAGTTCCTGGAAGACACCTTCTTCAAGCAGTGGTACAGGAAGAAGTCTGCATCCTTCAAGAAAAACATGATTTTCATGCAGGACAATGCTCCATCACACGCGTCCAAGTACTCCACAGCGTGGCTGGCAAGAAAGGGTATAAAAGAAGAAAATCTAATGACATGGCCTCCTTGTTCACCTGATCTGAACCCCATTGAGAACCTGTGGTCCATCATCAAATGTGAGATTTACAAGGAGGGAAAACAGTACACCTCTCTGAACAGTGTCTGGGAGGCTGTGGTTGCTGCTGCACGCAATGTTGATGGTGAACAGATCAAAACACTGACAGAATCCATGGATGGCAGGCTTTTGAGTGTCCTTGCAAAGAAAGGTGGCTATATTGGTCACTGATTTGTTTTTGTTTTGTTTTTGAATGTCAGAAATGTATATTTGTGAATGTTGAGATGTTATATTGGTTTCACTGGTAATAATAAATAATTGAAATGGGTATATATTTGTTTTTTGTTAAGTTGCCTAATAATTATGCACAGTAATAGTCACCTGCACACACAGATATCCCCCTAACATAGCTATAACTAAAAACAAACTAAAAACTACTTCCAAAAATATTCAGCTTTGATATTAATGAGTTTTTTGGGTTCATTGAGAACATGGTTGTTGTTCAATAATAAAATTAATCCTCAAAAATACATCTTGCCTAATAATTCTGCACTCCCTGTATATCTGATAATTGAAATTATAGGAAAGAGAGCAATAGATCTAAATAACTGAAATTATGGGTAAGGATAACCAGGTTATGAAAATAAAGGGTTTAGACAAAAAGGTCAAAGTTGAAATAAGATAACAGGTAAACCTATAAATGATGTTATAGGTTAAAGATTTAAGAATAACCTAGAAGAGAAATTATAGGCAAGTAAGTTGAAGGTAAACTGAAAACAGGAGTTATGCAATATACCCCCAAATATAATACAATCAGGAATGGAAGTATATAATAAGAAAACCTATAGTTGAAAGTATAGGTTACATAGAAGGACAATAAAAATAATAAGGTTGCAGGAAAAGAACTTAATAAGCCCCTTTAGGAATGAGTATTGCTTAAACAGGAAAATGACACCATGTAATTATTTTGAGGCAGAGTCCAGAGTGGTGTTATGCAAGCAGGTATAGAGCAGAGAGGTTGTTTGGATTTGAGTAGGTAAATATCAGGATAGTTGGATAAAGCTGGATAGTAGTGAAGTTCAGGTTGGTATTTTGCAGATTGGAAGTCAAACAGGAATGCAGAGTAGTTTAGGCTGGTATTGGGCAGGGTTAGAAGTAAGTAGTTCAGGTGGTATTAAGCAGGGTTGGAAGCAAGTAGTTCTAGAGCAAATAAGAAATTCACAGGAGCCCGGATATCAAGTGTTTCAGGCAGATCAACAACTTCAATGCAAAGGCAATGAGGTGAGTTGGGTGTTACCTTTTGTAGGAACCCAATTAGTCCAGGCAGGTGAGGATGATAATGTGAGTTTCCAGAACTAGAGGCAAGGGAGGCTTCTAGTGGTAAAACATAATCCGTGCAGGAACTAGTTTTTTAAAGAAACAGTATCAACGGGAAAAAAAGTATTGCTTGTCAGGATAGGATCCTGACACTATGAGAAAGTGCTACATATTACTACAAAGCCTTAAGTCCCCTTGTTAACAGGAGACCCTTACACATCAATAGGTGGGGGGAAAGGGTAAAACTAGCTCCCCTGCAATTTAATAATTGAAGCCCCCATCTGTTAGCTATAGTTGGGGTCTCGTAGAGACACTATATATCTGCTCTTTATTTATTTATTGGAGTGTTCTCCAGACGTCTCTGATGTGGAGTGTATGACTATGGAATCCATGAGAGATCTGGGTTCTTCTGCTGAGGATGAGGTGCCTTCAGCTCCATATTTCCTGGAACCTGCTAAAATTGACCATTTGATATCCAGGGTTTGCAAGACTCTCAGTTTGAAGGAATCTTCTAAGGATGAGCATTTCACATCCAGTCGCCACTTCTCTGACCTCAGGAGGAAGAGGGCAACTTTTCCAGTCCAAAAGACCTCATCAAGGAGGAATGGTCCAGATCGGACAGAAAATCCTCTGCAAAAGGAAGAATTTCCAGACCGTATCCTTTTGAGGACGCTGACGCTGAAGCGTGGGATTCCGCTCCCAAGGTGGATACGGCCGTGGTTAGATTGGCCAAACGTACCACTTTGCCTGTTGATGATGCGGGTTCCTTCAAAGACTTTATGGACAGAAAGATGGACTTCAGTCTTTCCAAAGCATATGGTACCATATGGCTTCAGGTACTGGCCTGTACTCAGCAGTAGCCCTTATGTCAGTATCCAGGGCGCTTAAGGTTTGGATGGAGAATTTGGAGGAGGATATTAAGAACGGCAGGAGCCGTCCCTCCATGCTGGACAGCCTGAAGGATCTGAAATTGGCTGTTGACTTCTCATCTGAAGCTGTGGTGGTTCTGGTGAGGTCCTTAGCCAGAAGTATGGGTCTTTCAGTTTCGGCCAGGAGAGTACTATGGCTTAGATCATGGTCTGCTGATGCCTCCTCCAAAGGCAGCTTGTGCTCCTTTCCTTTTCATGGCGACATGCTATTCGGCAAGAATCTGGATGATTGTATTAAATGAGCAGCCGAAGGTAAAAAGGCCTTTCTGCCTCAAGACAACAGGCCCAAAGGTTCCTTTCATGCAAAAAGGGATTATTACCCATTTTGTGATAGCCGATCCTACAGACCAGGTAAGGGATATGGGAGAAATCAATCCTGGAGGAGCGGTCTACATCGTGCTAGAGGCGGCAAGTCCCGACGTTCCGCACCCTCCAAGAACCCCAGGAATCTGTGATGGGCTCATCTCCCTGTCAGGCGGTGTTGGAGCTCACTTATTCAAATTCCGTATGGCATGGGAGGAATCCGTAAGCGACAACTGGGTTCTGGATATCATCAAAAGGGGATAACTTCTAGAATTTAGCAAACACCCCCCTTCCAGATCACAAAGTGGCCAGGAGACAAAGTAAAAAGGCTTGCTCTTCAGGTCTTCACTTCAGAATGGACTCACAGCTTCTATTCACACCTATTTCTGACCGA